CTGAAGGCATTTTCGTTGCCGACGCCTTCGCGTTTTACAACGGAGTATCGCCATACCAGGCACGCACTGGACGCCAGCCCTCCTTTCTTCCTGACCTCGACACCCTTGACTTTCCCAAGGGACCCGAGACGTCAGGCCATGAACGAGAACGTCGTGTGAGGGAAGTTAGCCTAGAAGCAATGACTCAAGCCACGGCTGTGGCCAAGACAAATCGTGCTCTTAGGGCTAAAACGGCTCCAGATGGTGCTCGCCTTTACTCAGCAGGGGATCTGGTCGACTACCATCGACCCACTGCCACTAAGGACGACCATGGAGGCTGGAATGGTCTATTTCCTGTGATCCGTAACGTGCCTGAAAGAGGACACATCGTTGTCAAGGCAGGATCTCGTGAGGTAATTGTGATGTATCCTGATGCTCGTCACACGCTATACATTGAATGCCTCCTTGCACGGGAACTTGGCATGGATAACATGGCCATGCAAACCGTCCTTACGTATGCGGCGCACCTTGGCGCAGGGAAAAACCTGCCAAAGTCTTCGGCTACATCCCAGACTATAAGGGAAACCTCAATCTTTCAGACGACAGCAAGTTTCACCCGCGCGTACATCTTGCACTACAGTATCTCGTACGAAATTATTTCCGAGTAGAGCACGTAGGAGCGGTTAGACTGGGCAAAAGTGTGTCATGTCTACCTGCAGTAAAGTACGCCACCGGGTCTACGCTGATCCACTACGACAATGATGTTAGCCCAGCCTTCCACTATTATGAGTGTGTGGGCACTGGCCTGAACATTTCTCAAATCACTGGTAGCGCTCATCCCAGACTCATCCAATGCTTGACCTCACATGTTCCTTCCTTAGGATTTCACGACGACCTGGCCAAGTATCAGCACTCGGGTACCACGTCTGGAGAACACGATTCGCCTGGAAACAGGCCTCCACCAGACACCCCAGGTGCTTCATCGCCAAGTGAAGGCCGTCTGTCGACAATCTATGAAGAAAGCGAGGAACATAATATCGAAGCCATGATGCTGGAGGAGTGGTACGATGAGTTACGTATGGACCTTCATCCCACGACGACTACCGACGATTATCTTTTCTGCGTCCCAACAACTATGCTGCCCGACCAAAATGTTTTGGTTTCAGCATCTGTGGACGAAGAACATATCGTACTGTCGGAAATGCTCGGAGACGAGCCAGAACCACAAGAGCCCTGTCTAGTCTCTCTATGCTCAACCACACCTGGCGAGGGTTACTCTCTTGACAGTGATGAATATGGTCCCTATGTTGAGTTATGTTTTACACCAGAAATGTCAAAAGTAGTGTTGGATCAGACTCAACTTGCACAGCTCGACACTGATATGGTCGCAACGATGAGAGTATATGGATCCTCTGCTGCTAAACGTGCTGTGGTAGTCAAGGAAGACGACCTACTCACCAAAGCCGACATAGCAGCACACCCGAAAGAGGTTAGTGAAGTTTTGTACACTGAACTCAAGATCTGGCTTGATAACCGGTGCTTTGAGATGTATGATCTATCCAAAGCTTCCAACATCATGACATCCAGAAATGTATATAAGTGGAAGTTTGTGAAGGTAGGTGCCGAGAACGTTAAAACCATCCGTCTCAGACTTGTCCTTCGTGGATTTATGGACACTGAGGCGTTCGATGTGGAAACCTTCTCGGGAACCGCTCGACGGCGGTCCCAGAGACTCCTAGCAAGTGAGGCGGCATGTCATCCAGAGTGGATCTTAGCATCCATGGATATCGACAAAGCGTTCCTGAAGGGTTGGACCTATGAGGAACTTGCCCATGCCACCGGCGAGGAAACTCGCATGGCTTGCTTCGCCCTTCCACCGGGAAGTGCCCAGGTACTTCGTACACTGCCCGGCTTTTCGTCCTATGACGAAAGCCGACACTGCCTCAGGTGCCTCAAGCCAGGGACGGGTACCAAGGACGCCCCAGGAGCGTTCTCTCTGAAGCTTCGTACGACCACGCGAGCTATAGGCCTTGCACTGACAAGTTATGATCCTGAATTTGAATTCAGCCAAGATTTGCTAACGGCAAAACATGTCGATGCCATTAATATGACAGGCCTAGAGAACATATAGACGACTATGTACAACGCGTCGAAAAGGTGCTTGGCAAATGCAAGCTTAGCACACATTCCTATACGAACTGTGCCGTTCGCTACACTAAGAAGGACCAAGGGGATGTGATCATGGATCAGGACGAGTATATCAAACAACTACGTCCTATCACACACCCAGAACTTACAGGAGCGGCGGCCGATGCCAAAGCCACCAAACTCATCACCGACATGTTCGTCAGCTTGCGAGGAGCCCTCGCCTATGCCCTTCTTACTCAAGTCTGGCTCATGGTGTGGAGGACGATGAGACCAAAGGGTTACGGCATACGCGGGGCCAACGTACTACGGCGAGGAAACTCGCCTCAAGGCAAATCCGTCGTTCACCTCTGTGACGGACTATGTAAATCACACCGACTGCAGGTGAGGTCCAGCTATGCCGCTGAGGCACTTGCAGCTGCACACAACCTCGATGAGTGTTACCCTACGCTCATCACTCTCCACAAGCTCAAGGCACGGGCTCTGACTCCACGACAAATACGAGATATGCGTGAAGTTGGGGCGCTATCCAGCAAGGATCTTAAGATACCGACGGAACGGACCTTGCTTGGACATATTTTTTGGATACGTGAGCTCATGGATATAGGTATATTGCACAACGTGCAGTGGTGTGATACTAGAGATATGACCGCAGATGGGCATACAAAGGGGGGCATCGATCCGGAGCTGCTTTTAGAAGTGATGTTAGGCAACCAGTCATTTAAGTATGACGTGAAGCAGTTTGTTCCCTTTCGGGGTCCCGAGGACAGAAACAAGTCTAAGTCTAATCAATTTTAGTCTGTCCTTGTTGCCCCCGCGGTCCGATTTGCCAGCATGGGCGCCTACTACAGAGGCGCCCTTCTAGGTGCTCGGAAACGAGCCTTACATTTCACGCTTGGTAACGAGCGTGTTCAATATGATTCAGGCTCTTTGCCTTAATGCCCGCTTGCTCGGTGAGGTATGGTCCGTTTGGCTCACCTCTAGCGGGGCCGATAGCCTTCTACCATTCAAGGGGCTGTCTCGTGTTTGCGTGAAATGCCTTGCGAGGAAACTCGCCTTGCAGTCTGGTGTTGGGCCAGTCTGTACGCACTGTTTTCCTGCAAACAGTTGCGCGCGCGGCCTTCGTAGAGCCTAACGTCTGCGCGGCTATACTCTCCGTCTCCTCCCCTCCCGACTTTAAGGGTAGCTCTTTGGGAGATGTTATATAGAATCGAGAGTATAGCTCGCGCGCCGTTGCCTTTGGCTCAAGGCACGCGCGCCCTATTTGCCCGGACACTGCTTGTGTTCGCTATGTGCTGGACAGATCATTACATCGATCTTATCCCATCTTATCCGTCCACTCCCCATACTGTACCACTTCAGCATGGCAGTGGACGCTATCTGCCATCCGATTCCCATGGAAGCGGATGCTATTTGGTTTACCATAGTCACTTTCGACTCTTTTGAGGCTCTCTTGGAGCTTTTCGGCTGCGTCTAGGGCCGTCTGGAGACGAGCATGGGCGTCTTGGAGCAATCTTTCGGCGACTCGGGGCCCCTTGGACTGTCTCGGGGGCATCTCGGAGCCTTCAGGTGCGTTCCTGGAGCGCTCTGGGAGGCCGGGAGGGCAGCCCTTATGGGTCGTCTTGGAGCCCTCTTGGGCCCTCTTGGGCCCTCTTGGGGGCATGTTGGACCATCTTGGGGCGATCTTGGGGGCTCTTGGGCAGTCTTGGGCGCTGTGAACCCCCGAACGTCGTCTATGCCAGAAATGTACGTTTTCCTTCGGAAGCGAAGCGATTTTTGCTTCTTGGGGCCCTCTTGGAGTGCCTTTTGACGCTCTTTCGGAGCTTCGCGGCAGCGTCTTGGGCCGTCTGGAGACCAGCGTGGGCGTCTTGGAGCAATCATTCGGCGACTCGGGGCCCCTTGGACCGTCTCAGGGGCGTCTCGGAGCCTTCTTGGTGCGTTCCTGGAGCGCTCTGGGAGGCTAGGAAGGCAGCGCCGAGGAGGAAAACCATCTCTGAGTCGCACTGGCCGGGGCCATCTCTGAGCCGCACTGCCCGGGGGCCCCCAGAAGCCGCCCCGCGCGCGCGGACTAGAATATATTGTTAACCCGTTGCCGGAGATCTTAGCACGTCTCTGGCCCGGTGGGCAGGCGAATACGTGATTATTTTGGTGATCGACCGAGGGGGGGCGAGGGGGGTGGCAGCAAGCACGGCAAGGCGCTCAGCAGAGGGGGGCGTCTGAGGGAGACTCCTTCCTATAGGGCCGTACATCGCTCCTGCTAAGTCCCCTTGGTCATCGATCGTCACCGCTGCGAAACCTGCTGCGTGGTTCTTGATGCTGTGCCCCTCCTAGTTAGGAAGAACGGGATGTCCCTCGACACCGCGAAGTACAGCGACATCGGCACGGAGGTGCCAGACTCAGGCGTGCAGGTGAACTCAGCAGAGATGACCGACAATTTTGTCTTCCCTCTCATCGTGGAGGCTCCACTCCTGTGTGGAGCCAAGAAGGGCCTTTTCTCACAGCGTAGGCGGGGGAACCTACACGTGACGACACAGCGCCAGCTTGCTGCGCTGGAGGATACCGTGAAGAATCTGGCTGCCCAGGTTCAGGGGTCACGCTCTCCTTCGACCGGCCCACCGCCACCACCGCCACGACAGCCGCGCGGACGACGACGTGACCCACGTCTTCTTGTCCGCCTCAAACGCCTGATCGTTCAGGCGGACGAGCAGGCCGAGCCGCCCACACACAAGGAACTCGTAGCCACCCTCCAATATCTTCTGGGAGACAGCGCGAAGACATCTACCGCATCGGGGTCAGGAACTTCCACGTCGGAGCGCCCGACCGTCAAGCACCACAGGGTATTGCCACATCCATGGGGAGGGGCCCCGATCTGGCAGGCGACTCACATCAAAGACAAGGAGTACGACGCGCCCACTCCACCCGTCATCTCTTGCCTCAACAGGAAGGAGTACGACGCGGTCATCGACTGGTTCAAGGCGAGGGGCCATGACCAGATCCCGGCCACATGCATCATCTTCAATGAGAAGAGTCTCATCGAGGGTTGGGAGGAGCAGGAAGTCACCGTTGAGGGGGTCAACGGCGGCGCAGTGCAGCTCTCAGCTCAGGTTCTCCACGCGGGTCGCGCCTCTCCTCAACGTGCTAGGCTGCCCCAGGGCGTGAAAGACGACGTACCCATCACTACATAAACTACCGAGCCTGCGATCCTCCGCCTCACGATTGCGCGGGAGTTCTCAGAGGATTGGCTCTTCCAGCAGGCATCCGAGAAGCCAGTCTCGATCGCATCCCTGATGCTCAACGCACATTTTGCTATGTACTCAAAACGAAGGGCGCAGTCGCATATGAAAGTGAGGTGACAGCCATCCTCATTGTGTGCGCCTCCAGCGTCCAGGACCTGCTCAAGTTCCCGCTCAGCGGTGACTTCCTGCTCCTCCCAACCCTCAGGCCTTATTATGCGGAGACGGTCGGATTGACCCAGTCGACGCGTGGATTACGCTCCCCAAGTGGCGTCAGCCCGACTGCTGGGCTAAACGCAGGAACCCTGTGTGCAGACCCGGCTTGGCACTATGCGGACACCCTTTGACAGGCGTGTTCTGGGAACGCAAGTGTCGCGCGTGCCTGGAGAGCGTTGGCTTCGAGCCCATCCCTGGTGGGGAATGCGTGTGGAGACGCAAGAAACTGGGCCTCATACTCTCTGTGTACGTGGACGACTTCAAGCTTGCAGGACCCGCCGCCAACCTCCATGCCGGCTGGGATCTGATCCGCTGGAGCGGCATTGAGCTCGATCCGCCTACTCCGTACTCTCAATGCCTTGGCTGTGGACAACAGGCTTATGACGCTCTGCAGAGCGTCTTCGACAAGCGGATGGCTACCATTCGCCCAATGTTACCCAGCCACAGCGAGAAATATTACCATACAGCTAACCAAGTTCGTGGTATACGACATGATATATGAAATGCTTGGCTTTTCCGACCAATGTATAGAGCGCTACCTTGAGTGCGCCTCCAAGATGACTAGAAAACCAGGCTCACGCCGGAACGCTCCGACTCCCCGAGGGCTTCGCGATCTAAATCGCCTGGTTCCTCTGGGTCGGTCGCGAGACCTACTGGCGTGCTCAACGCTCGGTCTCGATCATCCAGCCCAGCTGGGTCGGTCGAGAGACCTAGTGATATGTCGCAATCCACGACAGTCACTCGACGACCTTCCCGCCGCGGAGACACCTGGCATCGAGGGTACCTCTTTTACCGAGTCGGATTACTCTGACGAGGGCATTCTCGGCCAGGACGCGGCGAGCGTGTTGATGAAGATTCTCGATCTGGCACGATACTGTCGTTTTGATCTCTTGCACCCGGTGTGCATGTTAGCCAGAGAGATTACCAAAGGGAGCACTACGTGTGACAAACGCCTTCATCGGCTTATCTGCTACCTCAAGACGGCCCGTGCACATTGTCTACCTGGATGGATCGGTGATACTCAGGGCCAATTGTCCATCGTGCTCTTCACCGACGCCTCATTTGCCGACTGCGTTCCTTCCTCTAAGTCCACCACTGGCGTCTTCGCGGCGCTTGTTGGACCGAATGCATTCTTCCCCGTCAATGCCGTGTGCAAGAAGCAGACGGTCGTTTCTCACTCCTCCACGGAGTCCGAGATCGTCGCTCTTGACTCTGCGCTACGACTTGAGGGACTTCCATTGCTTTCCTTCTGGGAGGCCGTGGTGGAGGTTGCCGGCGCCTGCAAAGAGAAGACCAACTGCCTGGGTTGCTTGGGGCGTGTCGCTACGACGACGTGTCCGACCCTGGCTGCAAAAAAACGGCGGCGTAAGACGCCGCTTCGCAAGGCGCCCCCTACAAGGGGATCTTCTCCCAGCCGGAGGCAGCTCCCGCTGCAGTCGGAGACGCTTGCGACTCCCAAGAGGCGTGCGATTTCCCACGAAGGTACTCTGCTACACGTGGACCCGGAGCCTGCTCCTACGAGCGGCTCGCCAAAAGAGCACCTTATTGTCCAGGGAGAGAACCAGGCTGTGATCAATATTGCCCAAAAGGGACGTACACCAGCACTTCGTCATCTTCACCGCACACATCGCATTAATTTGGACCGGATATGCGAAACATGCAAAGTTGAACATGTCGAGCTTAAGTATGTAGGTACTAAAGAACATATTGCCGACATGCTACCAAACATTATGAGCCTAAGAAAGCAGATCTCTGGAGGGATTTATGGGAATTATTGCCATCTTCTCCATCGCCTTCATGCAGTGTCCCCCGAAGATCCCTTGGAGACCATTGCGCGGGCCCAGGGGGCCAGATGGTCAACCGCACGTTGCCGAAGCTCCGAAAATGGATGAATGTGTAGAGACTTGCGAGATACTGCTCACTGACCGCGAACATGGGGGGGGCGGGGGCGCCAGGCACAAGGCGCGGACAATTTTGCGTGGGATCAAAGGGCCACGAGGGACTACATGCGTGCATGTGCCATATCGGTGCCCCTGCCGGGGCTGGCGCCTCTCGCCGGACTCGTGCGCGGGCACGTTCGCCACGCGGTGGGCGCTCTAGTCAGTCCTCTTCGCCGCCCCTGGGCCCCGCCAGATCTGGGAGTTTTGTTATGCGATCACGTTGCCCCCGCAGCTGTTTTACGACTCGAGCAACTGCGCTTGCCAGCATCTTGCTCGAACCGCGCGCGCTTACTGCTCAGGGGAAAGGGTCCGCCCCCGACTTTCCCCCATCAGAGATGCACCAGGTCCCACCTCTCCACCTTGTCGGCTGGGCCGTCGGCGGCGACGTCCGCTATGATCCCGAAGCTGATGATAATGATCGTGTGGGACCTGCGTTCCTGCTTCAGGCAGGCCGCAATCGTGAGGAGGAGGATGGCGGATGCCACTTCCCCCATCGGCGCCGCCTGGATAACGGCGCCGAGTGCCACTTGCGCGCGCCAGACGACTCCGCTCTCATCGAGACCACCCGCGCCGCCTCGCTGGACGTGGCTGGGGTGGTCGGCAATCGAGCGGGGCCTGTCGGCGGCAACGCCCACTGTGAGTACTGCACTGTGACGGCGACCCCATGGCCTTCGATGCTGAAAACCATGTGTGCGCTGTCAAGTTTGTTCACACGAAACACCGCTGTTCAGGAAGCTACCCGCAACTTGTCTGACCATCTGAACGCCGCGATCCCTGGTCAAAATCGCATGTGCCCTCCGATGGGCCTCGCCGCGCACGCGCTGGATGCCGAGTGGCGGATCCTGCGTAATGAGTGGTCAACGGTTGGGTGCGCTATGCTTGGACAGTGGTCGCAGGATGCGGTCAAAGACACGATCGAGTTCTATAAGGGCGGCTACTGCATGCCGCCAGGCATCTGTACGGAAGGATTGAACACTCCGAATCACGCACATCCTCCTGGCCGAGAGCGAGTCAAACTACCAGTGCGGCCTCCTGCCTTGGCCGGGACGTCCGGTGTGGCAGGACGCATCGGCCATGTTATGGAGGGCCATCTTGTCACCGACATGCGAGCCTTTCACGACCGCACCCAAAACAAGAAGTACGCCCGAAAGCTCATCACTTGGCTGACAAATCGTGGCGGTTTTTGGGGAGTCGGTTCGACTCCCCAGACGGTGGCAACACCTTCTGATCACCCTGACGGCTGGAAGCTTCTCCCGCGGCGTGCAGCAATGGCAGCCCCATGAGGAGGGCGGCGTTAACCCAGCTGAGTTCCCAGAAGGAGACGAACCTGGCGCCACTCCAGGATCCATGTTGGATCCAGTGGAATTGCCCCAGGCAAAATGCAGCGCCTTCTGTGGTGGTCGATTGGTCAAAGCCCTTCTCTCCGAGCGAGGATGGATGGGCATGGTGCAAGAGGACTTGGGAATGCTCCTGCAGGCCATGCTTTTGGCCCTGCAGGCCATGCGTGCAAATGGACTAATATCTACACGGATTCCACATGGATTATGCACAAATAGAAGGGTGCGAAGGCCGAGAACTACAAGCGTTACCCAGGGTACGGCATCGATGAGCTCAACGGCCCGGCCCGACGCGGTGAGCTCTCAGAAGCTTCCAACGTCGGCCTCGTGCCGCTTTTCATGCCATGTCTCAACAAGGCAGAACACATGGGCGGCGCCACGCTCGAGCATTTGGCAACTGCGATCCGCGACGACATCATGATGTGGGCGTTCTCGCACGAAGATTACAAGGCATTCTTCAAGCGGAACGACACACCCGTCGGCCAGGACTTGATCTTATTGCCAGAAGCCGATGGCGACACCCGCTGCGATGTGCAAACGCTTCGTGCACGTGCCGCCCAGGTGCAGGAAGAGCGTATCGCACAATTTCTACAGTTGCAGACCGAAGGCACGGTCGAACAGCGCGTGATGATCGGTCCGATTCGTCAGGCGCGAGCCTTACTGTACTGTGATGATAATGCTTCTGTGGCAGAATGGCGCAAGAGAAATGAGCAGATTTGGGAATACTGGGGCACAGGGTTTCCTGCCTATGTAAAACAACAGCATTCTTGCAGATGCCTCAATGCTTTCGTCGTTTGGAATGCTATCGATATCGGCTGCGCCAGCCACAACCAACAATGGTTAGACGTACGGCGCCATGCTGATCGTGCCCCAAACAAGAGTGGACGCCCCGAGAATACCCACATCAAGTGCGAGAACGGAGTTCCAGAGCACATGCCTTTGCACGTGAAGGTTGATGTGTCACGATTAACTGATGTGATGCAGTACTTTCGATGCCCTACCGTAATGGGACCAGGTTTGGCTAAATAATGGGGCCTGCATCCCAATTTCGATTACCTGACATGTGACCTCACACGTCACATGCAGGCCAGAGGCATCGTTGTTTTCTCTGCAGACCAATTGATTGAGTCCTATGACAGGCTCTCTCCTACGGCATGGGATGCCAAAATGGTAGCCACAACATGGCAATGATGACAACTCAATTCAATGACGCCGTGTGCTACCGCAATTTCTGCGCCGTTATTCAATCGCTACCTTCTCAGCAAGTCCCGTTTCGGCCGCCACTATTCAAGGCCGTGACGGACTCCCAAGCAGACACCCAGGCCAAGGAGATCTCAGCGGCTCTTACGTTCCGCAACAAGATGACGGCTGAGTGGAA